ATGACAGCCGTAGTTATATTATCGATCATTCCAATTTCACTGTCCAGAGGTCTTTGGCCTACAGTTACTTAGTTTACTTACAATGGGGCGCTTCGTTGATACTCATTATTTATTTAGGTTCTGAATGCACCTATAGATAATACATGAGTAACACTGGCAACTACTGAACTCATACGATTACAGCAAAGTCAAACTAGTATAAGAGGTTTGATGTTAACGCTCCTTGCTTTAGAAATAATAGTTATAATAGTATTTTAAAAATACAATTAAGCTTTTGAATAATATTTTGTATTTGTGTTGCTGTATTCTGAATGTAGATTCGGTCTAAAAAAATGTGAAAGGAACTGCCCATTCACAAAAAAGAGCTCTAGGAAGAAAAAAAAGATGTTCCTTCAAACAAAAGTTAGGTTTATTACTTTACGTGTTTATGATTTTGTAATACAAACTGCCATACTGCATACAATATTAAGAAGTTAAAGATATTCTTTACTTTCTTAATATTCTATGCAGATATAAAGCTTGAAGAATTAGCAGATGATTGTGCTCATCACAGTACGAAGAAAGCATGTTTTATAGCCCATTCAAGAAAATTTTGTATACGGCTATAATAAAAATACATCACGAAGTTGTAGCCTATTTAAAGAATTTAAAAATTAAATCAATAACAACAATAATTTAAAACAAACTATTAGGTACCTAATATACATTCTTTAATAACAGGACGGGTTTATTAATACCGTTTAATTAATATATATTATGTCATTCAGTATCATTAGCATCATCATTTTAATTAAATTAGTGCAGCAACATAAATAAACATGTAAAATAAGGAAAGCTATTTAAAAAAATCTTTTCTAACAAAATACCTAAAATATATTTAGCTCTGAACATTTTTATATTAAAAGTATAAAGTTATATGTATTTATATTGTAGTGTTTGTGTACCGCCCTTTGTAGGATAGGATATAAGGGACAACAAGGGATAGCATCGATTTTTGGCACCCTCGAAGCGAGCAGGGCGGGGGCGCGTCTAATAGCAAGATGGCGGCGTTGGGCTACGACTTAGGACTCCGGACCTGCCTCAAGCGCACTCGCCTTCCAAGGTCACGAGCACCGCATGCGGCAGCGTCGCGTCCGCTGCGTCTTCCCAACAGGGTTGCCAACAGTCAATCATTTTACCTTGTTCCAAAAAGTTATAAATTCTCGTCTATTGGACTCAATTTGGCTCTCCAACATCAACTTTTTGTATACATCTTCACATTTTGACGGACTTTAAATGGTCAAAATCTCATACAAACTTGAACCAAAATGATGTCCACGGCCCAAGACCAAAAATCTTGAACTTGTACGAGGATTTCTGTACAATGGCATCCCTGCTCCCGAAATACAGAATCTCGATAAATGGAAACACTACTTTTATCCCTCTTGCATGATGCATCCACTCCATCTTGCATCTCCGTCGCACATCCGCCCGTGAAATGTGGAATTATGCTACTCAATAATGATTTCAACTGGGCTAGGGTTGACACCCCTGTAATTGTAGTTTCTATTGTGTTTTGTTGATAGTGTTATAATTATTTGATAGTTTTGTCATAACTCTTTTGACCTCTGCATACTAGCAGTCCACATCAGCTTCGCACGATTAATATCTCCGAGTGAGAGAATTATATGAGTGAGTCCAGGATTATATTCTTCACACATTTCTACTTTTTTTTAATGTTTATGTAGTTTATATTATATATATATTTAGTTTTCCGACTATACGAAGTATAAAAGTAACTACAATTTTGCCTGGTTTATTGTTTTTACAATATAAATAATTCTAAAGGGACGTACGTCCTCGTGATAGTCGTAAAAAGAAATTAAATAAACTATCGGCGATACTTTCCAATATATAATATTAGTTTAATCGCGTGTGTATGTAGTATAAACAATATTGAAATACTTGTATTTATATATAGATAGGATTCAGTAAAATTCATTCATACCTACTAAAATCTATACCATATTATAAACAATTTTATAAAAGGTTAAAATGTCGACAAAATCATGTTTACACATTTGTTTTGATGACTTAATCAGCAATTATTTAATCACATGCACTTTGACACGGACAATTAATCGAAATAGTAAACAGGATTGTTGGCAACCCTAATCATAGCAAACCTTATCTATATTATGGAAAAAATTGGAATGCGAGATATTACATTTCTCTGTCTCACACTCGTCACTTGTTATATATGCGTCTTGCTCTAGAACCGCTACCTACGTATTGGGGTAGTAGGTAGGGGCGCACAAAAGATTTTGGGATAGATTTTTTGCAAACTGCAGTAATGAAAATTCAGTTATTCCACTGTGCAGTCACTAGTTCGCGTCGCCGATGCACGTACGCATCACGTTTCGGTTCCATTTTTGTTTGTATCATTTCATAATTAGTTAACAAACATAGTGCGTTTGCTGTTTGCTACTGGAGCTGTCAGAGACATATTAACTCCACGAAGTGCTTTGGCACTATGCCTAATGTATAATTTACTCTGTAGGTAAGTCCTAACTTTTTACTCTATTTTGTTTACCGTTTAGTCAACAGATTCATAATGTTATATTTTTAATACCACATTAAGTATGTCGTAGTTATTTGATTATAATATTATAATTATGTGTATGTTTTTTTTAATTTTATTAAATTACATTTAATATAAATTTATTAAATTATTGAAAATAAAGCGCAAATATAGTTCTGTAAATATATTGTACAAAATAATAATAACATAAAATTCTAAAATAGTTTTAACAGAGACGTTCTTAAACATATATAATTATTATTATATAGATAAGTTCGGATAAAATAAATCGTTATTATATTCAGTATACACAGTTGACTTATTAAATATTATATTGTATTTTATATAATTACCATTAGAATAGGTATCAATATTAAATAAATTGAAAAATAAATTAAAATAAATAGTTAAATATTATTTAGAAAATTACACAAACGTTTAAATATTTATAATACAAAATAGTTAATTAAATGACATAATGAAAATATTATAACCAACAAGACAACGTACCAGGACCAAACGATACATAGGTTATATAGATAAATATTTTATTATAAACACAATTGTTTGCACTAATAGTAATTAGAAATTATTTGTATTAATTTGCTCAATCTTTATGTATTGCAATAGTTTAACATATTGGGAACTCATTAAAAATAAAAAGTGTAAGATCCTGTGATTTTTACTAGTTATTATTATATCGTTTAATACTATGTATCATGTAAACTCTGACTTCTATTTCTTATTTATATACATCATTTTTTTGGTATAATAATGCTTAGTGAAACATGCAAAAGTAAATATAATATATAACTATAGTTTATAGAAATACTTACTCGTTTTTATTAGCGGCATCGCGTGGTCGCTATTGATTGACCGGGATAGAAAGTAGCCCATGTCTTTCCACTACTTGGAGTATATTCAATTTCATGAAGCTTGAAGCGTTTAACCCGACGAGAGACCTTACTAATAATATAGACGCGAAAATTTGTTTGTTACTCTTTCACGTATAAAAACTGCTGAACAGATTTTAATGAATCTTTACAGTAATATAGCTTATACATCTGAATAACGCATAGGCTATAATTTAAAGTTTGTCTGTTACTCTTTCATCCAAAAGCTACTGAACAGATTTTGATGAATCTTTTACAGTGATATGTCTTATACATCTGAATAGCACATAGGGTATAATTTAAAAAGATATTACCTAAATGAGCGAAATAAAATGATAAATGTCAAGTAAGTTTGATGCATGCGACGGGTCTGCTAGTAATTAATAAAACAAATGTTCTCATCTTCTTTATTTATATATGTATTAAAATCGTAATGTCGTGACGATGCTAAAACCGTTTGTTTATCCATTCCTGTGTTGTCCTTTCATGTATTACGATGAAATAAAAAAATAATAAGGTAAGACAACATATAGGCTATTGAAATCTTAGAAACATACCTAAAGTATGTCTATATTTCTTATTAATTGAAAATAGGCCATGTCTACTATTGTTATTTTAATTATTAATATATAGTACAAGCATTGCTCTGTATTTATTTTTGTCATCGCGGACGAATTCTCATAAACAAATATTTTATCTATGTTTATAACAATAAACTTCCGAATGTAAGTAATCACTTAAGTAACTGCATCTGTTTGGCTCTTTCTTTTGTGTTTGTCATTGTTAGCATAAAAACTCTATTATGATGGTTATTTTTATGAATAGTTCTAAGTACTGTAATATAATGTACAGATTAATATATTAATATTAGTAACAAAGGACGGTGAATATATTTGACGTGATCGAGTTGCCTTAGTAGGTATATGTTGCTATATAGGTATATGACCCAATACGTCTGATATTACAGTGAATATATGAGAATACCATCTTCATTATTTCTTCTTCATTATATGGTATAATAGTTGGAGCCGTCTCCATACCACTCCATACATTTTGCTTCCTTACTGGATACAATAGTACGACAAGTAAAAAGCAAAACCACAAGCGTGCAGTTTTGTGTTTCAAATTGGGTAGCAAATCATTAATTTCTTATTAATTATAAATTCCGAGTACTATGAATGAACGATATTCGTGTTCTTATCACCACTAATAAGAAATAATCATATTCATAGGCAATCTGATTTTCTGCCAGAGTCGGTAGTATAAAAATATTGTTGTTTATTCTCTACTACCAATTGTTAGATAGTTAACATTAAATATTAATATCAATACTGTACTGTAACCGAGTTGACACCAGTTGCGTCTTGAATAGGCAGCTGCCTGGGCCATGAGATTAGAAATCCTCAGTAAATTTCTTATGTACGATTTAAATTATGATTGAAAGACGCAAGTGTATTATAACTTCTTGTAAATCACCACAAGACCACAATAAATAATATAGATATATCGATACATATAATCTAACATATAATAATAATTTGTTGCAGGATCTAATGTCGTGACGAGTGAGACAAAATGACGTCATTCGCAAATCTGACGCAGTCGCTGGCATCGAGTTTGCCTTCCACATCGGCGACAGCCACCAGCGCAACATCCAGCCATAGCTCCAACGAGCAAGAGGATCCACTTGCGATGACGCACATACTTTGCAATCTCCTGGAAAATATGAATAAACCCTCCAGCCTTCAATCGGTTGCGTCGACCTCTGCCTCATCTACAGTACCTTACGATATATGGGCGTTACCATCCTGCAGCTCCCTTCAGAACCCTATCGGCACTATAGGTCGTGAGTACAACTCAAATTCTAACAATAATCAGAATCATACCAAAGAGGATAACTCGAGCGGTTCACCCGGCACATCTTCCTCTGTATCCATCACTTGTTTTCGTTGTGAAGAGCGTACGCCCACTACACGTTGTTTAGAATGCAATGATTTGTTCTGCCATGAATGCTGTCATAAAGTAACTTCTGACTGTCAGCTAAGAGAGCACACTTTGCTGCCTATACACCAAATATCTCCAATCGGTGTTAGACCCAACTCTGTCACCAATGAGAAAGAAGTTATGTATTGTGAGCTTCATTGTGATCAAGTCAGATATTATTGTGAAGCGTGTATTATTTTCATTTGCCAAGAATGTACCTTGTGGGTCCATAAAGACCATTGTTATACTCCAATAAAAGGCGCACTAGACATGTGTCGTGTAGGAGTTTTTAGAGCTATAGAAGACACTAAAACAGGTACTAAAGCTATTAAAACTGCTATAGATCGTGCCGTAGCTATGTCCAAAGCATACGAAAAGGAGACTGCGGAGGCAAATATGAAAATTCGAAAGGCAATGCGTTGTTATGCACAAGCTATTGAAGATCGTGAAAAATATTTATTGGATAAAGTAGAGAAAATGCGTCAGGCGAAAATGAACGAGCTATCTGATCACATGAACACACTTCGTGGTATACTTGCTGGTTTAGCACACACGAACGAAACTCTAGTGCGTAGCATGGATTCAGAAGGGATTGATTTATTTATGGCTAAAGAGAAAGGTAGAGCTCAAGTGGATTATTTTTCTTGCATGTTCAAAAATATGTATGTCACCGAAGAAAGAATTATGTTTGTACCTCCTAATTATGATTTAGTAGATCAACTGAAAAGACAATGTGATGTACAACCAATACCAGCAAGTTCGACACACAACATCAACACCGCGTCGTCGGTTCAGTCTAGACAGTCATTGTTATCACTTCAATCTTTACAATCAGCTCAGTCTTATACTCCATTAACTTACAATATCTCCGGAACAAGTAGTCTAAGATCTTTACCTGATTATACTAGCAATCCTACAAGATCTACTAACTATTACGACCATAGCATTACATCTAGTATAGCAATGGATTCCAATCCCGCTCGTGGTATCGGTCAAGCTATACCTGGATATTGGATGTCAGTAACAGTGAGACCAACAAGAAGCCCAGTTTCTGGTGTTCCTATGTTCTCTTTCGGTCGTGAGGGCCAAGACGAAGGCCAAGTGTCAAGACCGTGGGGATTATGTGTAGATAGAGAAGGCAACATAATAGTTGCAGATCGACGAAACAATCGCATACAAATATTTAATTCTCGAGGAGAGTTCAAAACTATGTTTGGTTCTAAAGGGACTGGCCCCGGGGAATTTGATTTACCAGCTGGTATTACTACTGACACATATGGTCGTATAATAGTTATAGACAAAGATAATCACCGTGTTCAAGTATTTACGTCTTCTGGCAATTTTATTCTAAAGTTTGGATCCTTTGGCAAAGAATGCGGTCAGTTTCAATATCCTTGGGACGTAGCAGTGAACACACTGGGCAATATAGTAGTGACCGATACACGAAATCATCGCATACAATTATTTACCAGCGATGGCACTTACATAACCAAATTCGTTTTCGAGGGAGCCAATCCAGCTAAGATGTTAAAAGGACCGACAACCCCGAGGGGCGTGTGTTTTACTACGTCAGGAAATATTATAGTGTCTGATTTCGAGAATCATCGTTTACTTATGGTAGATCCAACTCTTTCCAAGGTTTTACATTGTGTAGGACGTGAAGGTTCCGGTATCGGTGAACTTAACCGCCCCTCGGGCATAGTAACTGATGACGACGGACGTATTATAGTGGCTGACTCAAAAAACCATCGCGTGCTCGTGTTTACATCAGAGTTGCGCATTTTATGGGCTGTTGATTTAAAGAGCCCTGGTCTTGATGACAAGGACCGGCCGAGCGACGTGGCGCTTACTCCTGAAGGATATCTAGTGGTATTGTTCGAAACGCTGCCTGACACTGCTCGCGACATCTCTTCCCACGGCAAGCAATACATTAAGGTATATTGAATAATAATATTAAGACAGACTAAGCTCATGGACCTAAGGTCTATCAAAATTTATTATGTTTTCTTTTTTTTATGTTGTGATTTCTTTGATAATGTGCCAATTTTATATTATTAACTTTCGAAAAGAACCCATTCGAGCATAGCTTGGGCGGAGAGTTAGTATTTGCTCAGCAAGTCATGCGCAAATCAAAAACAATTCTCCTTAAACCTTATTATGAGTTGCGTTACCATAGTAATCGAGTTTTGTTTCCGTATTCGACTAGTCTTTAAGGGCCAAACTATGTTTGAAGTGTTTACTTGCGTCATAATAATTTACAGTAGCAATATTTATCGGTAGTTGACACTATCAAATTGTTAGTCTAGTTTCAAATATAAATATCGAATAAAGTTCGGACCCAGTTGTCTATATTGGAAAAACTCTGAAAGGAGGCCATATTAGAAGTACAATCTTGTACATGCACAACGATACAAGTCTGTATGAAACGATATACGAAAAACTGTAAAGATAGTAATCAAAACAAGAACAAGTGGCATTCTAATGCCTACTAAAACTGACGGGTTATATCATAATAATAACTAAAATCAATCCTATTTCTCTTACAATTAAAAATCAATATTAAACATAATGAAGTAAAGTTATGAAAATATCACCTTGTGATGTAAAAGATGTTTTATGTGAGATATAAATTAAAAATAATATGACTTGAAAAGTATTTTTCCAAAATGTTACATTTTGCGTTTTTATATTGGTTAATGCACAGACGTTGATATGTATTTGTATAAGTTATTTTGAATATTAATTTAGGAAAGTACTGATATTTTATTGTAGCGTTGTTGGCGCGTGTATGCTGTATTTAATTAATTGGCTGGATAAATATTGGTTGAATTATTTTGCTCGAATTATAATATAGAGACTGGTTCTTGTTCGTGGGATTGGTATTCGGGTGTGAGTAGTGTGAATGAGCAAAAGAAATTAATGCAATAAAACTTTAAGACTGACTTTAGAAGACTGTCTTAAAGATGTCGATTGCGACCGGCGTAGGCGGCAGCGGACAATGTCGCTAGAACTGACGTCTTCTTTTGATGCGATTTATTATTACCAAAATTAGAAATTATATTCGTTTCTGCAAATTAATAGGGCTCTATGAAGCTGTGACGAGATTTTGTCATAATTTATTTTGTATTAAGAGACGTGATATTTTTATTTTCATGTGCAAATTGATTTTTTTTTATTTCGTTAAAATTATATCGGTAGAAATAATTCGATCTGTCTAGACGTATTATTTTAATGTTATGTAGTAAATATATACATAGTTACAGAATCTTCTCAATCACAGATCTATATTAATATAATCTAATTAATATGGCTAACTCGCTATTATGTATGCCATCACTTATATTCACTTAGCTAAATGAATTGACTTCTTCGTTATTCTATTTAAATAAAATGAAATTAATCATAATAGGTACGTAATATTTTGCAGTTATACATTAGCTAATTTAGAGATATTCTTCTACATATTGATTATTTTAATTAGTTAATGTTATCGCGTGTTTACAATCGAAACTTTCGTATTAGTTCAAATATTGTAGGAAAATTTCTTTCTTAAATTTTATATACTAAGTAATCTATATTTCAAATGTATCGAAATATATGTGTATCGATTTTATTCGATATCCAATACCTACTATGTGTTCAGTCAATATGTGTTCACTTTAGACTATAATTAAGTTTAGTTGCATGCCTATTAACGTAGTGTTTTTTTATTGTGGAACTATAGCTAGCTAGGTGCACTGACTTCCCTCGGTGTTAGTGGTCGATGTACATTCCCAACAGTTTTTGTTAACCACGGTTTTTATGCCCTAGTGCGGTGAATTGCTAGACACGACACCGACGTGGTACAGTAAAGGGAGTAAGCACACCATACAATTATTATTATATTGAACCCCGACCCGGCCATACAACATGTAGTCTGATATTATACCTTTTGTGACACGCAATAAAGATTTGTTCACGGCGCCAACACATCTCGAAACGATCGTGACTAATTCCTTGGTCACTCGTGTTCGTTCTATACACAGCTCTCTGTGGGCATGCTCCCTAGTATTGTTATAGCTTATTAGTCGCCACTCTATATTATATCTAAACTTAAGGTTACATCTAATATTACATAGAACTAGTTCTCTAGTTAATAACAACTATCATATGCGCGTACGTTGCGCGCTAGAATGCCTATATCGTTCACCCAATATCTAAGTAATAATTAATGCATAATATGATCGATAAGTAGCAATTTCTTTAGACTAACGTTTTTCACATTTTGTACTTAGGGTAACACTAGTTTAAGGGACTTGAGACGAGGAAAATACGATTTAAGTGGTATACTATAGTATGAACACTGGCCACTTCAAACAAAAATTTTCTAGTGACCGAAGGACGTATGATTAGAAATAACAAAGGAACTGACTATATGTAGATAATATTGACTGTATTGAAGAGTCTGAATTTAAGTAAGATGGGAAAATTGTTGTTTGAAGTTCTTACACTTACGCATAAGAGCTATAAGCACTCAGAATATTTGTACGTGGTCGCAGGTTCGCAGTAGTGTAGGTTGGTCGATATTAGTGTATCATTGCTGAGTTTGACTTTTGAATATCGTTGTGTGGCTGTCGCGTCTTATAAGATAGGTTTAATTAATGCAAAGATAAAATAAATTATTTTTCATTAAAATTTATTACGAAATAACCGCATATTGCAAACACCATTTACCGCTAGTGTACTCCTGCGATGCGGAACAAAATCCGTGCAGTCTGTGAGAGCTCTTTCGAAGAAATACAGCTTTGCATCTAGACGGCAAACAATCAAATTTCTATGATAAATTATTATATTTTGATTTCCAGTAATAATATAATGGAATTAACTTTTCCTTTTTGTTCAGTGCCATTATTAAAGTATTACGTTATTTTTTTAATAATTATGTTGCATAAAATGCAGTTTTAAGTAATTAATCTTCAAAAGTAGGTTTAAATCTCGAATCCAACAAAACTTGTTTTCTGCTAACAACGAATCTCATTTATTTGTGAAATATATTACTGCTCTACAATGTAATTGAGTGAATACACTCAGTTTATTGGATTTGCCAGGCAAACTCCGTCATTTTGATTATGTATAGATGGTTACACTCTAAGAATGTTATCCAGTCTTGCGTAATTAAAAAACCCAGAATATTTATCTGCTGCCTCAGTATCGAATTTTCAGACCATTTTGATGAAGTGATAAAATAAGACAATGTTACCGACGATGAGCCATTTGTAGCCATCTGTTTTAAATATTTTTATATCCATAGATCAATGTTGTAGATTTTAGCATTTCATCGAGTGTCTATGGTTTATGAAATTGAAGAGAGACCTGAGGTCAATAGTGGGCACTATTTTGTGAAACTTAGCTGAAAGCTGCTGAAGCATTACTTAATTTTAATATCACATTTTATTTCGTATGGTTTAGTTATGTTATTAAATTTTTTGTTACTTTCTCCGATTTTGTGGTGGTATCAAAAATGTTACTTTATATAGATTATAGTATTTCTGTATATAATCTCGCTGTTAAGTGTAGGTAAGTACTACGCACCTATAAAATACAATTAATGCACAACAGTTAACTTTTTTCTTCACTTCGGCAGTTTTATAACATTTAGCCACTTTCAAAAGGTGGATCTGGAATGTTTCATTAAAATTTTTGATACGACCACGAAATGAAGAAAAGATTTGATCGTCCTAACGATTTATGTGAACATTGTGAGCCCTGCTAGTTGCTAGCAGTAAAATTGTGGTTTTGTGATAGGTACAATAAAATTGAGAACTTAATAACATTTTATACGTGATTGATAATTTTTTTTACGAATTTTAATATTTAAAAGTATTCGGCGACACTTGGATTGCGAATAAGATAACATTTCAGCAGTTGTTTTGTACACAGAAATTGTATTTGCAACTTGAGTGTGACCGCACAATTTGAGACCTAATTCGATAATTGTATAGTGCGAGACAAAGCTGTACGATATGAGATTTTAGCAAAATTGTATTGAACCATTTTTATGCTATTTTTGTAACGTTATCTAGGCGCTTGTGTTGTGTTAGATTTAGGGTAATAAAATTCGTTCATCTCCCTTTTCCTACTCGCAATACGCGGAGCTTCTCGTGCCCGCCCCTTTTCTAACGTCGTACAATCGCGCGGCAAAGGGGGATGAATGAAATCAATATCATATGTAATTGAGATAAGTAGTATTTTTGTACACGCACCTCGGGCGTCGCGATGCGCACGGACACCGACGTGAGATTCGGACGCCGTGACGCGACGCCCAGACGGTGGTTAGTTGTGTTCAAGTTAAATAACCGCATCTACCTCACTTGTAATGTATTTAAGACTGATTGGTATTAATGTGCTGGTGGTCAGATCACCGATTTACGAGTCAGTTGTCTACTAACAATATTAGTCTTTTCATAAGATTATATAGATTAGAACATTAAAGCGTCCAGAGATTCTATCGAATATGATACTCTTTACTTTTAATGATTTAAATGAAGTGAATTTAATTAGCGCAGTCCATAACGGAAACGTTGGGCGATGCTTTCAATAGTGGACAACGGTCTTTTTCTTTTATTATATTATCATTCTATATCTTACGTTATTATTCTTCTCTAATATTGTTGAAAGAAGACTGAAATTTTATAAATGTTCCTATATTTTAATTTAGAATAATTTACTACCTACCATATTTCATTTACATTATTTTTACCCCTTCGGTAATAGTTACTTTGATTCTTATAATCTTATCAATTGTGTATGACGCTATATAATGTCATAAAATTTTTGAAAATTTTAATGGAATTTTGTATGGAAAATTAATCAAATGATTGATAAAAAATGGACTTTTATTTAAATCCTCTGCCCTTCCAATGTCCTTAAATATCAGAATTAATAAAAAGTAATATTAAAAAAACGAAGATGTATAATAACAATAATATGTTAATTAAAGTTACAAGCTTGGCATTCGATTCTCTCTGCCTATCCCGTAAAGTATCTGACTTGAGTTAATTAGGCTGTCTCGAGTTAAGCATGATGTAAAATACATGTTGATACATAGTATAGTTTATTTATATCATGCAAAAGTTTTTTGGAGAAATGATAATGTACCCGCCTGTGCATGAACCGGGCCAGCCATTCACAATAGCCTGGGGATTAACCGCAATGTTTAATAGAAGGGATATGGAGATCTACCTGCCATAGTAGGTACATTGTTAGCAATGAGACCAATAGTCTGAATTTCTGAGTTTCAACATTCAAACTTGCTTTGTACACTTCAGCAAACTATATTAAGTTTCTTTTTAAATAAAAATATAGCTATAGTAACAGTGGGCACTGAGAATAGCAGTTCAGTAATATTATGTTATCTGTGGTTCTTAGAAACTAGAGTAGCAGATATACCAATGACGTACACCATTTTTTACAACTAAATGAGAAATCTACTTCCCTTATATGGGAACTTAAAACAAAACAAACGGCTTTTGTATTTATCAATGTTATTGAACTGACAAATACCTAATACCTACCGTATTAGGTGTTTCATTATCTCTACCCTCTACTTGGTCCCAAATACTTAAAACGTAAGTATATTTACTGAAGATTTCGGATTTTTCTTTGGTATTTAATTTCTTGTGCTTTAAAGGAAGTCTAAGGAAGGAAGGTAATATATGCGAGCATGCACAATTTTATCCTTTACTAATTGTTTGGTGTGGCGTTTTCCCGTGAATTTAAGTCAAAAAATTTAAAGTATTCTACCTATAATTTAGGCACTATCTGTGTACCAAATTTACTTAATATCTGGCCTTTTTGTAGTTTAGTTTTTGCTTGATAATAATAATAAAAAACATCCACCCTTCTACACAAACTTTTTCGTTTTAAGTAAAACTCGCCTAGGCCAAAACCTTTCTAGACATTTATACGTTGAAAAGAGTTTATAAATAAACTAACATTAAAATGGACATATATTTGGATTCATATTAACTAGGCAGTATGACCCATTCTCTTTGCCTACCAGATTTATACGTATTTTAAAATAATAAAGATAATTATTGACAGAAGGTAAATACAAATTTTAACTAATGGGGCACCAATTTAGTAGTATATTCTCCGGTTTGGCTCGCTTCTTTGAATATCCGGTAAAAAGGAAACCTATATGCTTCTATAGACAAGAAGATTTTACGGCTACTGGTACTATGACAATTTTTTTACCTACATTGTTCTATCAGTGCTCAACAGAAGATTAACTAGTGAAATATTAATTACACTTACTACGTAGAATCGCCACACCCGTTAAGCTTCTTTTCTATTCTTCTCAAATGAAGAAGTTAGCTGAAATAACATGAAATATTGATAAATGATAAAGATGTAAATAAAAAATGTGCATAGATGACAAAAAATTATAAATAAATTGACTTCGAGTGTGACTATGGAATCAAACTCACTTCAATTTTAGTAGGTAGGTATATAAAAATCATAGAGTAATTGCAGTGAGACATTGTAACTTCTCAGAAATAGCAACACATAAAGTTGCATTTATTTTGTGTTCAGTCCATAGAGTATGATCAAAAATATTCGACAGGTTCAAACCACAAAAAGGTAATCCCTGTGGTGTTTCGCTACTTTTACGCATGTGTAAAAGTAGTATTCCGTTGTAATGTGAAGATTTAGAGGCGATTATGACTAAACACAATATAGATACCAACGATAAGAAATCTGTAGGTACTTAGTAGATATAAAATAAAGAGGGCGGATTTTGTTATGACGGAAGTAAACTTGGAAACACCTCCACGAATTTGAGACATTCTTTTACTTTGAAATGTACAGTATTATAAAGCAATATATGCTACACATACATTAGGTTATAGATAAATATAAACAAAACTCGTAAAGATATATGTACATATACCGAATAAGCAAGCGGCGGGCCTCTATGTCGAAATAAAAGCAATAAATAGAAATTTGAAATTTCATTAGGTAATTCTAATTAACTGTAACTTCTCGCTCTATCCTGTGATAGGTGAGCCTCTTAAGAAACCATCTGATGTACGGAAACTCCCCATGACCGACTATGACATGCTGGTAGACCAATTTTACAAAAGATTAGCAGAACAACGCCAGCACAATCAAGTAAGTACCTATCTAGAGTCTGGAGTCTGCTTCTTACTTACCTGATGTTCCGGTCTAGCTCCAATCTATAGAAGGTGTAAATAACTGGGAATGAGTGTCTATTACGTGATAATTGTAACTGAGAGTCTGTGGTTATAGATTGTATGAGAGCGTATCTTACAAAAATATACAAATTCGCGGGTCACAACTAGTGAATATGCAAGTAACTATGCCCTATTCTTTATATTGCTAAAAAGTACTAACCCCCATACCAATAAACGCCCTCCTGTATGTAAATAGTAAATCACACATGTAAGCAGTCCTAATAACATTTTTACAATATTGCGGCAAAAGACGGAGATGGAGATGGCCTATTTGGCGAGACAAGCACAGATAACAATAATAAATTACTAATAGCTTAGGTATTAATTGTATATGTACAATATATACTTACATGCTAATCATAATTCTGAACACGGCTTAATTGCAAGCACTACTCACTGTTCAAGTATTACCTTTGACTGGAATGTTATAAATTTTAATGATTATCATCGTGGCCATGTTAAGTACTTGTAAACATATTGTATACTAAATAAAAACTAAATTTTAGTTCATGTTTATCACAATACATTAGAGAAAGCTATGCGAAACAGTTAATCCTTTCTGGACATTAGGTACTCGGTTTCATGCGTTTGCGTTTGTTCACGAACAGGCAAAAATTCTTACAATCCTTATTTTGGGTTCAAATACCCAAAGTATTTTAAGGTCTCTAAATAATAGATTATATCATGTGTCTTCCATGTACAGGCAACGAGTACGTACTTACAAACGCAACCGGCGTTTGTAAGTACGTACCTACTTGATATTATTTAATAACAAAAGAAATGCCGAAATAGTGCACCATAATGTAATATGTGTAAAAAAATATAATAATAGATATTTTGTCGATTATCTATCTTCACCTAATATTAAAAATCTGTTCAACCGTTTGATTAGTCTTAAAAAGGTAACGAAGAGTCAAACATAGATACCTACTTTTGTATTTAGGCATATTATAAATTTAAATAGTAATTATTTCAACGTTTTCAAAATAAGAAATAATGAAAAATTACTACATAAATCATTTGGAACCATAAATAGACGTCGATTCAAATTACAGGAAATGAAAGACCACGATAGAAGATGGAGCGTGCAAAAGGTGGTGAAGCGTTTCCCAGGGTGGAACGAAGTGACCATTGCAAATCTCCACAGTCTATTCCTTCTGTTTGACAATTATTCTAATGGGATGCTTGGTTTTGATGACTTGTTAGTACTGTATTAATTTCAATAACTAGCCTTTGGCCTTCTGCTTTTTTTAGGAGAAAATATAGTCTATGTCCACGAACTTTTCTAACGCTCGCCGCAGCTTGCCTTTACAGCGTCGCCGAACAATAGCAGGCACTCGTCCGCAGGTGGCACTCTAAACCAACGGAAGGACTTATGGAGCGGCTGAATACCAACTTCTGCCTAACGGATACGACTTCAGTTAGTTCAGTTAGGCACCGCTACGGGCTCGAACCTCGGTTCAGGGCGTCGTAATTTCGATCACCGTTTGAACAGGACAGATGGTAGATCGGAGGGGCATCTATATTCGTCCTATATTCACGTTAAATTTCATTAAGTTCAGCCGTATAGTTTTGAAAAGGTAACAAAACTAAAGACACATTTTCACATTTGTCACATTGTATTAATATTATAAACGGGAAAGTTTGTGAGTATGGATGGATGTTTGTTGCTCTTTCACGCAAAAACTAGTGAACGGATTTTGATGAAACTATATATAGGTACATCAGATATCCCACCTTTGCACAATACGAACATTTATTACATATATTTATGTATGAGTCATGGTTGACTAACAATACCCTCTTCACCATGTTGGTTGTTATGTTTGTATGTAAGTATTTTTATTATATGTAGTACTTCTATAAGTACTAACTAGTTCCAAACTAAGAGCTTTTACTATTAAAAGCTCTTAGTTTGGAACTAGTTGGAGCTGTACGAAATATGACCTTTGAATATGATAATTAATTCTTAGGAGTATGTGTGTGTGTAGAGTATCAATAATACATTTATTTCACATGTCACAACAAAATCTGTGAAAACAAAATATACAAAAAAAGACACTTCTTTATACCGTTTTATTATTCACTTTTCGGTTCTCAGAACAAAATTAGAATATAACAATCCTATTATTATACATGAGTGAACTTCACTGATTTGTTATCAAATTAATACGACTCTATTTATATGGAAATGTTACAAAGTTGTGCAGTTCTGGAAAGTTTGGGTGACGACACTGCCATGGAGATTCGCAAAGAGAAATTCACTGAGGCCGATAGTGACAACGACGGGTGGATTACTTACGATGAGTTTTTATCGGTTTGTCTCCAATATATCTGTTTGACGTTCTACCTAATTGTAAGCGGTAATGGTCGCCTCTATGCATACCTACTCGTATATATTTTTTAATGAATTGTAATGGATTTGTTTCGTTGTTTCTAATACATGAAGTATTAGAAACAACGATACAAATGCACAATAAAATTATAAATAAAATACTTAAAGAATAAATGCTAGGGTGCATCTTCGTGCGCTTACGCATTAGGTACGCTGGTGGACACCGGTGGGAGATAATAAGATGTGCCTAAAGGCCGGTCAGTTAGACCATAGTCGCAAATTCACTAGGAATTTACCGAGATAGTTGCCAGGGCAAAGCGTCGAGGTCAACCTAACAGTTATTTGTTCAGATTACTAACAATCAACTTACAACCAATAACGCGTCAATATGTATGACGTTCCGGAGTTTGGCAGCCAAATTTAAGGAACGGTTGATCCATCACCCTAACAAACTTGCTCGACAACTGACTATAGATCAGCATGTAAGACGACTAAAACGCCTTCATATCCTGGAGCTCTGGGTTATCATCACAGAATATATTCGCTTATAGTCCTGGGACTGGTCGCAAATGTTTCAGAAAAAACAATGTATGACGTATTCATTGCGTAATCCCATACATATTATTATTCCTTAGCTTAGATGTATGCACCTATGTATGGATAGGTACATCTTGTAAGTTATTCACAAGAGGCGACTTAGTCCTGCAGCATAACAACGCGTGAGTTACCACTCTGATGGAACACATAATGTGTATGTGTATTGTCCAGTATATCATTTATTATTATATTATATTATATTTATACCGCCAACAATTATTCTCTCTACCCACGGTTGACTTGTAGAAGTCCGTTAGATGTACTTTGAAATTAAGTGTATTAAAGTTATTTAAACATCAAGTTTAAAAGCAACTGTCGCCAGTTACCATCAGATGACCTCGCAGCTTGTTTTTTTTTATTTATTTAATTCTTCTTTATTTAAGTATAACAAAGTCAATAAAAATAGATATACACCTAAGGGTACACAAACATGTTTTTTAGCGTTACACAGACAAATAAGTCTTTTTAAACATATAACAGTATGAAAATAATATGTAATAAATGTGACGATCAATAATTAACTCTTTAAAAATAATATACAACCAATCTTAAAGCTACAATAACATTAGTTTTGCTTGCCGGCAGCTTGTTTGCTATTTCTGTTACATAAAAAATATATTTCAGCTTGTATACAACTTCAGCCCGCAAGAAAATGGCCAGATATCGGGATTGGCTTTACTGTGTAATGAGGTTGCAGAGAACATACAGTTCGTTAGTAATTTAACAGTCGGTGAACAGTTAGAGTATGGATTGTTTTAAACTATACAATAAAATTATATTAATATAAAATTAAATTTTATTTGTTGTGAATGTAGTGATTTTATTTATTTATTTATCCTTTACTGCACCAGAAGTAAATGATAAAGAATATAAATAGAAGTAATAAGATACTAAAGATGGTGATTATCTCATAAGCAATCAGTTCCAGAAAACCTTTGGGTACAGGAGAAAAGAAAGTGGTACAACAAAAAGTGGTACCAAGATGGCAATACTAACTATGAATAATAATAATAATTTATTATAGAACAGTTTTAATTTTGTAGAAAAAATTTTAAGTATTTATTTTAAAAGCAAATTACAACTATTCATCAATACAACTTATGTAGGTATACGAGACGTAAAAAGTTTTAGAAAAAGATAATTCGGACTTTTAGTTTTTTTTTAAGAGGAATGGCAGTTAGTTTCATTTCCGTAATGGCGGATAGGCAGAGTCGTGCCGCCCCTTTGTGCGAAGTGCGGCCCACATAGGCGCCAAGGCAATAGGGACGCCAGATGAAATGGCAGCGCCAATTATTAACGTAATTTTTGGTACATAACAACAAATATTCGTTATAGTCGAGTGACTCAACTGTAAGTCAACAACAAGTAGGTACAGGTCTTCTAAGATAAATTAACTCCTTTGGTTATAAACTTCACACTAGTTGACGATAAAAAAGAGGCGTTTCGAAGAGGTTTTGTACACAGGAGATTCTGGTGGTCAGCGTGCCCTTGATAGCACCGTCTCCTACATATAAACAGCATCACGTATAATGTGTTACTATTCCTGAGTATGTCGGGCATCCGTACCTTGCCATACCATACTTAGACCTTAAAACTAAAACAAACTCAGCTTAAAAGGTAAGTTGTTTGACAGGAAGGGTTGTCTGTTATGGGGACTAGTGACCCCACTTCTTGCAATGTACCATCTCAGGTCGATCACGCGATTCCCCCTGGAAACCATCGTAGTTAATTCCTGGTAATTTCACCATGATGGGCTAACTGACCTGACCTTATTCCCGTTGTATCGTCCTCCACTGATGTCCCGCCAACGTATACCGTTAGTGCAGGCGAGTGCACCTTTCCATTATAAACCATTAAAAAAAAGCAACCTACCAGCGGAAAGGATATTGAAATTTTTTAAGGGTCGGCAACGCGCACATGATCCTCCTGATGTTTCAGGCGTTCATTTCGTTCCATAGGCTATGGTAACGTTTACCACAATATGGGCCGTATACTCATTACTACATTTAAATTTTAAAATCTTGGCATTTCTTCCTCGCTCAAAGAATCGATGTCGCTGAGTTCTGCCAAGCTCGGGTCACAAGCGAGGCATCGAGCTCCTACTTCTCGCCAACACTCCACACAATAAACAAATGGACACTTCGGTACTATACACGAGTGCCATAACTCGCCTTGATGATTCCCTGCAATAAGTTCATACTAGGCTATACTTTTTACTAAAATTACAAACGCGGAATTTTGTGAGTATGGATAACGAATTTTAATGAAGCTTTTACATTAATATACCATATATGCTAAATTTCAAGCAAGTGCGATACCGTGGCACAACCAGTTTCAACGCAGCCACTTATAGGTAATATAAATACGAATGTGTGTCTGTCTCTCTGTTTGTTACATTTTCTCAACTAAATATCTGAATGAAAATTAAAATGGAGAGAGTATATCACATCAGGGTGGAACCTTTTGTTTGAAAGAAAATGCAGACTAAGTCGCGAAAATGCTAGTGTTAGATAAACCTCCCTGCCCCCTCCTATAGTAGGTATATTAGTACTTACCTGTATTATTCCGAGGTTCGGTTTCCCCGCAAATGAGGCAGGTCATTCTGGCCGCTGGTAATACACTCAGCCAACCCAAAAGCCGGGGAAACTTCATTCTCATACTTAACAAATTCTCTCCTGATAGATAATGCGCACGGACTGCCTGCACCGCTTTTCTACAAATGTTCTTTTAATGTAATCAGAATGACAAACAATGTGATCGGCCAGGTACTGGACAACTGACAGAAATACTTAAATACATTGTTTTGGTAGGTACATACATAATGTAAGTGATAACATCTAGACTAATACGAACAATTATACTCATGAATTCAAATATTTGCATCGGAAGGAAGTGTTATACCAGCGAAGGATACAATTTTCTTATAATCAGGCTGAGGGCGAACAATACAAATTATCTATTCTGATACTAGTATCAGAATAATTTGGATAGTGACCGGTATGACATAATCAAAGAGGAATATAAATTGACATAAGTACATTTTTTTTATATACAAGATTTATAATCAATATATATAATGTATAATATATATAATATACTCTTTTAGCCATTAGTTTAGACGCTGCGATGATTTCTTGTCATATACACCTAGGTAAGTAACTAAACAGTCAAAGTATAATTATATGTAGATATAGTAAATAATAATCATATACCTATAGGCCATTATTTGGAAAATGTTAAAAAATATATCACCTTCGTAAAGTTTTTTGCATCTTCAGGCGATTCTTTAGAATGTCATTGTAGAGATGCAATATGCGTTGCTTCTCACGTCTCGGGTAAAAGTAGCTACAAATTAGCCTGAACACCAAAACTTAGATTATTTAGTTTTGTTGATTCTTATCGAGTATAGACAGGATGCTTACTTGGTTATTATTTAATATTTCTTGTTATATCTACATCATAGTTTAATATATTCATAACTTTTAGTAAAGGAACATATAATCTTTGCATTCATCCAATTACTTAAAATTAAGAACAGAGCTTGGATGTCTATCCTTATCATTATTATGTTTGCTTTAACGTCTGAGGCAAACAAAGACTTACAATTAAATGTAAAATATACCTCCTCAATCGAACCGTATATGGATTCAAATACAGCAGTATAATAATCCACAGGTATCCACCATATATCTTGATAAAATATGAAGCCGGCATGAGCCGTGGTCGCGGTAGACACTGACTGGTGTTGATAGAATACTGAGTGGGACTTCTTTCGTTCAAATTATCAAGTATCTTCTGTACCATTGACGCCAATGTACCTGTACCTTCCACCTACACAATAGCATATTTTGATTAACCAATATTTCAAATAGATTATAACAATGTCATCAACTGTCCCAACACGTCGGAACAGACACGGAATCCTGGGAACAGTTCCCCCCATGCTTGCGACATAGGTGATGGGTTTTTTCATTTTTTCATAAATTATTGAATTTTATGCAGTTTTAATTGATTGTAATTAAGGATATATGCGCGGAACGGTTTTAATAAATAAATAAATATTTATTAAAACCGTAGCGTAAAGACGACCGTACCGTACCGTAAAGACGACTTTAAACAAAGTCTACCGCGCTAAAACTATTTATATCTATTTACAGTTTAAACAATAATAATATGATACTAATAATAAAGAACATTTATTCATCGTAGCATAATACAGAATGGAAAATATAAAAGAGCATAAAAACTAATATTGCGCAATAATCTGAAAGGGTCTCCACTTACCTGGTACCGCAGCTTGTCACTGCGCTGATTTTCAGCGAAACCACTTGATAAAAAGAAAATAAAATTCTCTTACCTTTATTTCCAAATCACGTGTCCCTTGCAAGTTGGTTTCTATTTCGGCGTGTTGTCTTACCACGTCCAATGCTTCGTAGAAAAGTCTATCCAGCATCACAAATGTGGTGGCTGTGATTACTTCCAACATCACCTTTAGAATGTGAGTAATAAGAATGTGCCGTTCAGTCGGTACGTATGAGAATGAGTGAACATCTACATATTTATACCTTTCCATCTAAAATAGTAAAGGATTAGCAGATGAATAACGCATAATACCAATCATATAGTGAGCAGTGTCCCAATTTCGATATTCTAGTTCGACTGTTTCAGTTGGAATATTGTTAATTTCATATTAATTTGTAAAACGCTAACTGTGTCCTTGTAACAACTCTTGTTTTGCGTGCGAGTTCAGAGACGCATTGGTTCATACCTCTAATGGACAGACTAATAAATAAGTGTACCTAACATTTTACTTACTGAATTGTATATAGTAAAATATATCTAAATTATTACGCCGACCTCAAATAAATGGGATAAGGAAGAAGCAGATGTTGATGATGATGATGATATCTAAATTAAATTTAAGTTAGATCTTTTGTTTTTTTATGTCTACTGGACGTATCTACCATAATTTACCTCACCTACTTACATAATATAAGCATTTCTCTATTAAATTATTTTATGTACCAAAGAGTAAATATTAATAATTTAATATTTTTATGCAACAACATGCTTTCAGCAATAAGGCCACATGTTTTTACTTAGAATAAAGCCGCCTTATGGTATTTATACACGTACCTATATTTATTTTAACCATTAATTGTACCTATCGTCTACCTTTCTATAATGCAAATAAAGCTTATTCTATCTATCTATCTAAAAACGTATTGTAGAGCACTGGTGTAGAGTTGTCTTTCCCACCTGGCGGCGACGGAAAATTCGCTGCCCCTTAATGTAATTATATGTCAAAAAGTTTCAAATGAAGTAGCTTAATTATATACTTTAATTTTTATCAATTAATAATAAGTAAAACTGAAACTGTACGGATAAAAAATAGTATAGGTTTTATCCGTACAGTTTAAGTTTTACTTAAATAAGATCTTGATGCTTGCCGCTCCTCTGGCATGCCGCCCGGGGCTATGGCTCAGCAGCCCCAACGCTACGCCACTGTGTTAGACGCCCCACGACCCGTAGCCACAGATTAAAATACAAGGCAAGTTCAACACATACCATAAGCTAATAGAGCAAATCTCGCTTTTAAGTTTCTATGCACATAACGCCAGCAAATTTCGAGCATATGGACATAGATTAATATTTGAAAGAAAAAAAACAAAGGTGGATTGTTGCATGATAAATATGACGGCATTGGTGGACTACCGGTTTATAGTAGTCCGCCTTACTTCCAATGTTGGCAGGTTCGTTTCCTTGCACGAACAAACAGTTCTATTCAAGAGTATGATTGTTTGTATGGGTCTGGGTGTTTTCTATGTATATTACGTATATATATGGGTACATTTACAAAAAATATATCTATGAATAAATCAGTTGTTCAGTACATACATAAACCAAGCACTGCTTAGCTTGAGACTACATGACGTTGTGTGAATTGTCCCGAAATATTATTATTATAATATAAAAGGAAAGTAATTAACGAAAACTCTAAAGTTACTGTTGAATGCATTGCATATTATTGAAATATTTACCTTCTTCAAAGGCAATAGCGTGCATTGCTTCTTCTTTCTTCGCCTTGCATCGATGGTTTTGAAGTAACTAGTGATATAAATGTTATCGTATTCTACTTCGGTCAAGTACATATCGTGATACGTCACAGCAGCCATGTAGATTCGAAGAAATAAAAGTGCCATGCATATATTAACTATAACGATCGCGGTCCGCATTACTATGTTTTTTTCCTCGAAAGCATGCATGACTTGTTCTCCAGTTTCTGCGGCATCCTAAGACCATATCGGTATAATAGTACAATGTTACTATAATAGATAAATCTTTTATTGGTGTTAACACACACATACAAGGTACAGTAATATAAATAAAAAGATATAAAGTAAACACAAAACTATACAATATACAATATAAGTACAAACTGAACAACATACGCAAAAAACGCAATACGCAAAAAAGGTATTGCCTTGGGATATACGTAAAAATAATACATATTTTTATATAACTACTAGCTACTCGCCCCGGCTTCGCACGGATGTATATTAGTGATACCTACAGGTTTAGTCGTCATAAAGAAATTATCAAAAACGGTGCAGCGTCTTAGGAGTATAGTGGCATACACAACAGTATATTCTTTTATTTATAATTATGCTGTTGTACCATTTCGTTCCCCTCATTGTTTCATTCTTCATTATTAGTGAGAAAGAGTTCATCTTTCCGCACCAGCGTAGACCTAGTCAATCATTAGCGTAAGCTTGATCACAATTTCATTATTTTCAACAAACAAAAGCCAGGTAAATGAATAAAATACTGAAATATAAGTACAAACAGTTAAATGAAATTACAAAGTTATTAGAAGTAATTTATCTACCTGTATATCGAACAACTCCTGAAAATTTGGCATTTTATATTGCAAATTGATTTCCTTTAAATCTGTCAATACTTTTTTAGATTTTTTTAAATATACATAACCTTCTCCTAGTCCAGGATCAATCTAAAAATTATTATTCGTCATTTAATCTATATTCTAGATTAAAGATTAAGAGCATCGTAACCAGATTACTACCCGACTTGAAGGGGAATGGTTTTTTTTTAAATAATTATAACTAGCTCTGGATATTAAATTCCAGGCCTGTTACCTTAATTTCAGGGAAAAGGATTGTTAGTAATGCTTTGTGTCCCCATTACTAACAATGTACCATATCAAGTAAATTCTCTGGAAATCATAATGATTAATTCCGGGCAAATTTGTTACGATGTCCTAAATGACCTGAACAAACATTTATCTTATCAAACTCCACTGGTATGATAGGTCAGCGTATACCATTATCCCAGGTGGATTCAACATTTCACTACCATAGATAAAATTAACTCCGATTTAGAGGGAAGGACATTGTTAGTAGTGAGGACTAGCGACGTCATTGCTAACAAAATATACACAGCGAAATGTGGGTATATCATTCACCCACGATGTAGAGAGTTGACTAGGACTATCATCTGAGATAACATGTACCTTCAAATCAATCATCATTTATTCATGTAGGATATTTTAGCCGCTTTCCTTACCTATAGATATAAATAAAATTGAAGAGTCTGTTTGTAATATTGAAATAACAGTTTTTTTACTACATGCATATGAATATATGTACGGTACATACAACAAAATATTTTTATTTTACAATTTTTGTCTGTTTGTTTGTTACGGCTAATCTATGAAATGGCTGGACCGATTTTGACAGGTAGTTTTTTTATTTGCAGGTAGCTGACGTAATAAGGAGTATCTTAGGCTACTTTTATTTTAGAAAAATTATCAATTAACTTTTTGTTAAATTCCACGCGGACAAAGTCGCGAGTACAGCTAGACTAGCTTAATATTATTTTACCTTATCAGTAATATACCTTACTTTAATTATTATTATTTAACATTTTTACCTGTTTCCTACTATTACAAATATCAAATTCTTGTAGAATACTTTTGATGTTACAAATATATTGAAGCTTCATCGGCCAGCATAGAGACCACGCAGCATACGGCGGGGCGGATTCGTAACACATGTTGTGTACAGTCACAAAGGCATTAGAACATACAGCAGCTGCTCGTGAAATTTGATTTTCACATCGGTATTCCAGCTTTTTGAGATAATCTTTTAGGTATATTTCCGAATCTTGCTCGTTTTTCATATATCTGTAGGTAATGATATATCACAGGACCACAGTACCACTAATATGACTCTGTCTAATATTATAATATTTCAGGACACAGTGCCATCTACTCCCAAGCTAAGCACAGCTAGTGTTATGATTACTAGACAACTGATATAAATACACACATATATATATATATATATATATTATTTTTGTAAATACTAAGTTAATATATACAGAAAATACCCAGACCGCTACAAACAACCATACTCATGAATACAAACGTTTGAAAACATTTGCACCGTACGAGGAATCGAACCCGCAACCATCGGAGATAAAGCGATGTCCTAAACCGCTAGACCACCGAGGTCGTCAACGACCTACCAACGAACCTTTCAACGAATTAAAAAACCTCGAGATCCAAAAGTAAAATTTAATACCTACAGATACTTATTATCAATATGTTCAGAACGACGCTTATATCTAAAGAAATCATCAACCATATCATTTTGTTCACGACTTTTGGAGAGTTCATTGGTGCCTTCGATTTCAGTTTCAATTGGATCTATTACATTTTTAACGGACCTGAAATAAATATGACCCATTTAATAAAGTACTAACTGTTACCCGCGACTTCGTCCAAGTTATATTAAGCTTTTCTATAAGAAATTAAATAAAATTGTCTAAAATAAAAGTGGCCTAAGTAACTTTCTTATTTTACATATTAGGTTTGTACGAGTGAAAGCCCAGTCAAAATAGTCATTTCAGAGATTAGTAAGTTTCTTCTTAGACAGAGATTTTTTTTAAACTATATTGTTGTAAGTACAGTGTATACACCAGAAATTAGTAAGAACAAAAATTCTAAATTATATTTTTAATGTAAATACCATATACAATATGTACATTCATATGCATTTAGTAAAAATCTGTAAATCTAAAATTACAAACAGACATTTCAATTTTATTATTATTCGGTACTAAAATACCTACTTGTTTCGGAGACCCGTAATCATGAAATGTGTTGTGAGCAAAACCAGCTAATATTATAAATGCGAAAGTGAATTTGCTTGTTACGCTTTCACGCTTTAACTGCTGAATCGATTATGATTAATTTCGGTATAGAGATATATTGAACGGCGCGGCGATTGTTACAGGCAACTTTCTTATAGGCCGAGTGAGGGAACGGGATCAACCTTGTATGAACATTTTTTTGACGTAGCATATCGGATATGCTTGTAATTTTGGACAATTATTATTGTGTGAGTATATATATATACTCATACAATAATAAATATATAAATATTTATATACTATGACGTTGGCATATAAGCACACTGCCTATCTGATGGTAAATGGTTATCGTAGCCTATAGACGCCTGAAACACCAGGGGAGTCACGTGCGCGTTACCGACCCCTAAGAAACTTTAATATACCCTTATTGAAAAACTCGATGCATGTATCTCGAGAAAACATGTACATATATAATTATTATATGAGAAAATGAGGTAAGGTTTGTTAATTATATTTTACTTTTATTAATACTCATGCCTAAGATGTTAATACTAATATTAACATCTCATGCAGCCATGACGCACACGTCATCTTACTGCGACTGTATGCCGTACAATATTTTGTATCTGTGGCGCATTACGTTTGCGCGGGAAAATAAAAGACTACAAAAAGTCTTCTTCTGCAGACATACTAACTTGTTGTGCTATTTATTTTTAATTGTTTTGCACTATTCTACATAATTTTGTATGTCTGCAATTTACTTTTATTATAATATATATACTACTTTGTACACCGAATATAAATACTGCCCCTACTAACTTATTTATCCCGACGTGACTTTCGGCTTTTTAATGGCTCTACCAATATTCATTATGTTGAAAGATTAGTCTTTTTTATCACGTCTCGACCTGTATTGATTTTAAATATTTACTGTAACAAAAACAATTAACACAAAGAAACCTTATTGCATCCTTCATTTGGTTTATATCGCTTTGCAAATCAATCATAGCGTTCCGTAACGGTTTGGATATGAGAGCGTGTTTCGTTCTAGACAAATTGTATGAAAGCTGTGTAGAACACGCAAATACTCGTACCACTTCTTTCGCGTTCAATCCCATATTAGTTATTGGTCCTAGGGAAACAATTTCAAATTAATCAGATTTACTGAAAAAGAGAGCGACGATTTAAAATAAATATATAAATATTGCATAAATTAGGCAAAAAGTATATAGCATCTCTAGTACAAATTAAAATAAAGGACTGCCTAGGAATAACTTATGACTCTAGTAAAACCTTTTCAAATCTTTTGTCGAACCAAAACTATAACAGTACATATAATATAGGTACTAAGATATATATACGAAGTTACTTACCAGCAACCACATAAGTGAGGACAATAGCTTTTAATACTCCACGTCCGGGCTTTCCGCAGTACATTGGAAAAGTAAGCAGAGATATGCATCGTAGTTGTGTCGAAATCGTATTACCTATTCCTATAATAGATACGTAAGAAACTATAGTAACTTTTATTAATAAAATAAAGTATTAAAATGTATTTAATAGATATGTATGAACCATTTAACTATTGCAATTGCGAATTATACATCTTAGCTCGTATCTGCATCTCTGAAACACTAAATTTCAATGAAAAGAGCGACCCATCAATCATAATATTACAATTGAGAATTGGTAATAGTATCATTACATAATTAAGGGCCGGTGTCGAATTCGACATGTTTCAATTACAAAAAAAAAGATCATAGACTATAATATTGCTAATATTTTATGCTTAGTACAATTAATAATTTCAAAGTAGTGCTTATAAGTTAAGTATATCTTTAAAATATATATTTAATAACTAACCCAACAAAACGCTTATTAATAAGGACAAACAAATCTCAAAATAATAGGGTAGAGGAATCCTTTTCAGCATGTACAGATAATAAAACTGAGCTAACATGAATCCACCTATGAAACTCAAAGTATGTCTTATGCATTGTTTATCACGAATTTCACTTATTATCTTATGTATGGGCCGACAAAATATATGAAGGCATCCTTTTAAATTGATATACAACAGTGCGAATATACTCATTTCATAAAATAAATAGAACTTGCAAGCGGATATTAAACCGATAAATAAGATTAATGGACTTTTATTTATTATTTTATATGGATATTCGGCATTTATAGAGTCATAATAGAGTTAGTAAGTAAATAATAAATTTATTAACGCAATAAACAATCGTTTTGACGTAGTCTGTCAAGTACTATATTATTCTTATTAGATCTTTTAATGAAAAGAAATATGAAATAGCACATAAAAAGATATTAAGTACCTATATAATGCAGTCTATGGGCACAGATAACATTTTTATTTATTTTGTTTAAATACACACTATCATCACTTAATAGATGATATAAGCTTTCTAACGAATAAACATATATATACTATTAAGAAAACAGCTGATAGTACTTTTACACTTTTATGATAATGAGCATGGTGTTTATTTCATTTACTATAATACATGTTTTTTGTATCTGACAAGGATATTAGGAAGATTGTCAAAAGTAACGACTGTAGGGGGCTAACGTGCTTTTACTATATATCTAGAGTTTTTAAAAGACACCCGTAGATATTTATTGAGATAACTTAAATGCAATTATATATCAGACTTTAACTTAACTTTCGTATTTCTACCGAATTATGTTTTAAATCAAATCATCGATGTCTTTTAGTTAAGATACCAAAATACATATCGCATATATTGGAAAATGTAATTAGCTTTTTTATAAATTCAAGTTTTATACATGCGTATAAACTCAGAATATAAACGTTATATAAATGTATGTCTAATAGTTTATATGCCGTCAGGTGTTCTTTCAGACAAATACAGTTGTAAAACCTAAAGAAAAATAAGTTATTCTAGCTATAAAAAATGAGGTACATTAAAACAAAGAAGTCAGTTTATAATCAATCAGTTTATGTATCGATCATTGTTTAGTATAATTAGTCTTATAAAATTCAATACGTCTTGTATAGAGAACTTAGATATTTTATTGAAAGAGTTAAATTAAAGCGCTCTAAGAAAACAACAGTAGCATTTAAAATGCCAATTTACAAGAATAAATTAACGATCGTAGTCCCCCGTGCGACCCAAATTATAAAATATAACAATGTCAACGAAAAACATTAACACTTTATTCCAAATTTATATTTTTTCTAACAGTAATTTTAATTTTGTGTAACTAGATACAACTCAATCTGAAACATAATTATTGGCCAAATTTGTAACTAAAATCCTGTTTGTATCCGTATCTTTTATTATCTAATCTAGTTTAGACGTTAGTAAGTACTGAATATTATATTATATATAATATATAGTTATGCATGATCAATAAATATTATTATTACTATTGATTCTTGGAATTTATCAGACTTGTCAAATTACGCCATTATTGCTGTCAAATAGAATTTTTGGATTAAAGTAAAAAGACTAAAAATTAAGTATCTAGTTACTTAGAGAGATATGTTCTCTGCAGATTACATCTGCATATATTTGTGCTATTATACTATTAAAGTAAACAAATTGTGCTATGAAGAGGTATCAGATTGATATTATAACGATAAAGAACATAGTACAATAATTAGTACACTTTTGTACGATAGTACTTTCAAAATACCTAGCAAAATTATACATTTTTGTTATTAAGTTTATTCTGCATTTCGTTAAATGTGTTTTACCTAAAAACTTCTATATGCACAAAAGGTAGACATGTATAACGGTATATTAAATAAATTCACAATTATAAACGATGTGGAAATAAATTATTTTAATGGTTTTATTTCCTCACTTGGGTTTAAATAATGTTCTAAATATATTACTACAAATATTGCGCATTATTTCTTTATACAACTATAATGTATAGTTGATCGAATGGGTTATTCGATACATAAAGTGGTATAAATTGCCTATATATAACAGGACGTTTACATTCAACATATGAAGTCCGGGGTACCTCTCGTTGGTTGCAATTACCGAGGTCTAATGCGCTATTAAATTTCACTACCATCTCTCACCCTGCAGTCTGGACAAGTTATTACAAAGCTGATTGATAACGGAAAGAGATATGAGACAACAGTGCCGATGTAGACAACTTTATATAAAGTCTACGGTGTTCAGACTATTACAACCATATGAATAATTATACTAGTGGTCGCCAAGTGCCCGAAATTAGACCATAATAAATTAAAGTATAAGTTTAAACATTATTTCATAACAGCACAGAAACACCTCTCGATTAGCTGATTTGACAATTAAAAATATTGACATTGATGTTTTGTTATCAGTCGTGTAATTATTTATGAATTTAATTTTTATGCATATTTTTTTATTGCATTGCAAAGGGTGCGAAAATTTTTGCTTCACGTATTAATATATGTATAAAATTTTAATTGTAAGTGTAAACCCGTTTCTAATAACTTTTTCTATCAATAAATTTCTTCAAAAATTTTCTTCTCATTCATGTCACCTGATGTATATGCAAGTCTTTGGTATTATCAATAACTATCAAATTCTTTAGAGAGTAGTCGCACGGGGAAATTTATAACATCGAGAAGCATCGAGTCAGCCTTGTGAGAGAGTGCTCGGTATTTACGCGAGCGCTGTGGGGGGGTTTCCGGCGGTGTCGTCGGTCACCTCCGTCACCATGGGTTCTTCCTCCTGTTCAGGTAACTCCAGGATCCTGGGTCCGTATAACAGTAGGTAGGCGCAGTGCCAGTCGCCTGTATTAACGATATAAATACAATTTAAATTCATATTTAAGTCACTTGTGTTTTCATAAAGTAAATAAATATGCAAATATTTCGACAAGCACCATACATATTTTTCTTTAACCTATAGTAATGTCACTTTAATAATATTCTAAAGCCTGTTATAGATTATGTAAAAGGATGGCGGCTAGATAGATAAATATATAATGAACAGCAATTCATAACTTTTACTTTTATCAAATCTACTTTTATGCGGTTCCCCTTAAACGAGTCGTAGTTAATTTTTGTGACTTATTTTGATCGGGTCTGAAAAGGATTGCCTCCGTTTATAACCTGGAACCCGAACTTGAGTAAAAAGAAGATAGCTTAGTTTTTTAATGATGAGGTTAAGTAGGAGCGCGCATAATGGCTAGGAAAGGGGTAGAAATAAAGAAAGATTTATTTGCCTTATTGACCACTAAAATTGGTACAAAAGGTGGACTTAATGCTATAGCATCCTCTCCCAGTCAACCTTTGGGATGTACAGAGATACTTAAATGCTGCAATATACTATGTCAGATCATCCTTCCTGCAGGCATCCCAGTTAATTTAAATTTAAATTGTAATCTATAATCCTCCACTGGTGCCTCACTGGTTAACGCCATAACCATTCAATTGTAGAATCTTACAGCACTGAAATTGCTCTTAAGTTGGTACTGACCTCCACCACTGAGCTTGAGCACCTCCTCCTCGGAGACGGGGGTGACGGTGTCGTCGTCGCAGCGCAGCCAGGAGTCTCCGCGCGCCACCCACGCCACATAGTGCCCCGAAGATGACGACCGCCCGCGGTGCGTCAACACCGCCTGCAGACGGTAGTAACCACTGTTGTTGCTGCCCACATCTGTAACAGGCGACGGGGAAGGTGTTGTTAATAATAATCAATAAATAATTTTATTTATTATCTGAATTTGTTGCACATTTTCTCAGTATTACAGTTTTCCTAATTAATAATAAACACAATACAATGTACTATAGTGAGTAGTCAAACTCCTTTATCCCAGCTCTAGTTTTATGAACTTATATATTGCACCACCAACCATTATTCTCTTCACTATCTATGGTCGACTAGTAGAAAATAATGCATAGTGTTATATCTGTGATATGTATAATATGCATAGAAGTTAAATAAATAAAACAAAAAACCCAGAATCGTGCATTAACTATTTATGCAAGGAGTAGTGCGAGCTTGCATAAATAGTTAATGCATGATTCTGGGTACATCCGAAAACATGATGAAGAAAATTTTCATAAACTCTTTCTCTGATATGAATAAATAGTCTATAGACGTAATTAACAAATTTCTACAGTCAAAAACATATATAAAAAAATGTAGACATTTGTGCAGAATTTTTTCATACATCTTTTATACTTATACAAGAATTCCTCTTTTTCAATTTTAGCTCCACCTATGGTCATGAAAACTGTAGTGTATGAAATTTCTCTGGTCTATAATGCTTGTGTTGTTTGTTGTTCACATATCATAGTTGTTTACTTAATAACATATGTATTATAGTTTTGTGGAAATGAATTAAATCTCACCATTATCAAACCAATATGGCACAACTGTCTTCTTTTTAATCACCTTTTTACTGTCGCCATGGTTTTTATTTCTAGCATTTAGTGACGACTCTACGGTAGCATCATCCAATTCCTGTAAAGTTAGGAAATTCACTGTAGAATGTTAACATAATATCAAAATTTGACGGCCTTGGTGGTCTAGCAGTGTAGCACACAGCTTTACTTTCGCTAGTCGCGGTTTCCATTCCTCTAACTTAGATCTAGATGGCATTGTGTAAATTGTGCAGGGTTATTATTATTATTTTAACATTCCAATTAAAATTCAAAGTTAGACAGAAAATCTAAGGAGAAAATGCGGGGAGAATACTACGTTGTTTCAAAATGGACTTAAGTTACATGGAAGCATAAAGCTGAAATTGGTATAATTAACGATTACGTTCGACAGCGCTCTGAGTTTCTAAATCATAGAGATATGTCAAGTAATAGAGATAAAAAGTGCGTACACTCTTTTTTTACATTATCACTGATTTACACATTTTCATAGTCGCTCTATTTGTCTTAATTGACCCTTAGTAATTCATATTCACTTACCTTAAATTTCGCCCTCATTGGTGCAAGCCTCTCCTGAAGTTCCGGCGAACATAGTTCGTATACGTCCAAGTCGAGGGGGAACTTTACGTCCTTTAAGATCTTAGCGTTGATAGATTCCTTTTCCTTGTAGTAGAAGCGAACAAACTGCACAGTGAGATATGCGGGCAGCCGACTGATTTTACTCTGAAATCAAATCAAATATATTTTTACGTGTATGTTTCATAAACATATATACGAGTATACATAGAGTACAGATAATTAGGATAAGTCAAAGTTACTGCTATTCTGATGTGAAGTGTGAGCTGAAAAGGATTGACAAGAATCTCTAAACTTTTTATTTAAGTTGCAGTTCCATGTGAATATAAACATTACACATGTTTATATTCACATGGAACTGCAACTTTGTTAATTAAAAAGATTAATTATCACCTAATAATTACAAAGATATAAAATACTTTATATAGAGACAAATCCTTTATTTGATTAACAAAAAATATACTGAAGTACACTTACACAAATGCGGACAATACATATTTCGATATAATATTAAGAAGTTTATATTATTATGTGTGAACCACAGCAATACAAAAATGTTATAAGCTCAGTGTGGTAGACTGTTCAGATATCAAAATACTGATTTACATCTTCAACCCAATTTCTACAATTATACATAGTGGTAAAAATATATAAAAAGTCATATAAATACTTACAGTTTTTGTATAAATAGCATCGCGTCCCAATGTTTGCGACAACTTCGTGATTTGTTCTGACATTTTCTGTGAAGAAAATCATTTTTGTACATATATCACTTCTAATTGCAAATAAAGTCACACGTGAAATTAAAATAAAATAATAGAAATCCATCAAGTAGTGAAATGGACTTCCGCAAAATAACACCTAATTCGATTAAATATATAAAATAAAATTGCAAGAGGCACATTATAATTATTAATAAATGGTGTATTACGCTGGCGGGCCACCAAAGGTAGAGGATAAGATGAACATGAGGCTGATATTAGTGATTCCCTCATTGAAAAAGGGCAGTCAAAAATATAATTTTCAGACTAGACAAGACAGATTTGAACTCTTAGGTATTAACAGGGTAGGAAATCAATGGTCTAGTAGACTAGACCATATACTAGATAATATTAGTATTAAATATGACACTAGATAATATTAGTGTGTAATAAGTCCTATAATTTGTTATTTAATAAGAATATTTACTTACCGATCTCAGACCAGATTGTAGATATTTGACATCTTGGGAGATAAAGCAGGATAATTGTAGGAAAGATTCTGTGTTGCGAGTAGGAGGCTCTTCAGCTTCCGAGCATACTAATTGAACATCTAATGTTCCACCAAAGTATTGCTCTATAACAGATGTTCTGAAAAAAAAGATCAAAATCAAACTTTAATATTATCAGTTATTACATAATAGGACATGTTAATGATGGCGGACTTAAAGAAAACTAATGGTCGAAATTTGACCATAATTAATTTAAATGAATCATAATGTTATCGTTCAATGTAAAATGTTAAAATGTTTTATTGTCAAATACCATATTTCTGTGTGTTTGTATCAGGTAGGTATAGGCAGTGGCACTCAATGAGGAAGTAGCCATTATTATTGCTAAAAGTTGCATATAGATGGCGTGATTGGTATCGATGGAATTCTTCATAGTTTTGCAAACGTTTTAAAAAACAGAACTGTGTTTTCAAAAATGTTTAATCAATTTTTAAAAAGTTATATATACATGTTAAAATGAAATAATGCGTTTAGAAAAGTAATTTTCATATATTTACTCATTTTGTTATTTTCCAGTACTTAATTACACTTTAATCAGTGCTAATATGGGGCTCAATGTTTTCAAAATGCTTTCATAGATGGCATTGTCGTCATTTGTATCGGCCTAATTAAATGTCTTTTTTATATTTTCCAATAATAAGCACTTAATATATTATTATTGTAAATTAAACATATAAAAAATTTTTAAGTAAATTAAAAATAGCCGAACAAGCAAGTAATACTATTTCCAATAATACTTATGTATGAAGTGTTGTCATATTAAAAATAAATACATGTATTATCGATTTCTTGAATAATCGATAACAGGATTTTATTACAGCGCATTATTCGATGATGCTTTTAATGAGTCGTTGTGAACAGTAAATTTTCATTATTATGTATTATAGCAGTGTTCCGTTTCAAAGAACGGAATATAGTAGTACATTATTAGTGTCGTTGGTTATTTACATTTGTACTGAATAATCGATTACATAATAATTTAAAATATCGAGTACGAATCGTAGCTGTCTTCGAATACTGGCAACTGGTAAGATTAAAATAGTATTTAAAAAAAAGAGAGAAATCGACCCTAACTCGAATACCATAAAGTTGATTTTCCTTTCTCATTAATATATCATAGCAGTTTGTTTTTAACTTGCGTATGACTCTGTGGTATGATGTTTAACGTGTATTGTTATTGTACGGTGCATACATTTCAAAAATTATATTTTAATGTAGGTACATACTTTTCATACATGTCAAAAAATATCTTTTAATGTAGGTACACACATTTCTTTCATACATTTCATACATGTCAAAAATTATCTTTTAATGTAGGTACATACATTTCATACATTTCAAAAATGAACTTGTAGGTACATACATTTCTTTCATACATCTCATACATTTCAAAAATTATATTTTAATGTAGGTACATACATTTCATACATGTCAAAAATTATCTTTTAATGTAGGTACATACATTTCTTTCATACATTTCATACATTTCAAAAATGAACTTTTTATGTACGTACATACATTTCTTTCATACATCTCATACATTTAAAAAATTATATTTTTATGTAGGTACATACATACATTTATTTCATACATTTCAAAAATGAACTTTTTATGTAGGTACATACATTTCTTTCATACATCTCATACATTTCAAAAATTATATTTTAATGTAGGTACATACATTTCATACATGTCAAAAATTATCTTTTAATGTAGGTACATACATTTCGTACATTTCAAAAAGTATCTTTTAATGTAGGTACATAACACCCCATGTCAGACCCCTTGTATTTGGAAGAAACTTAAAAATAATGCCAAAAATATTAGATGAATATATTTTTAATACGAATATTGTTTTATTTTTGTTCATCAACTTTATCCCTCACTAACAATACTAGTAGTAGTACATAACCTGGTTTATACCGCTAAAGATATTGAAAGATATACGAGTACTGAATTACTCGTATATCTTTCAATATCTTTAGCTGTTATCAAGTTCAAAATAAGCACACATTACTTGCTTTAGATAACAGAGTAATATTACTCGTAATAAAAACATTTGTAACACCCATATGTATACTACGTATGTATAGTAATTACTTACACTGCGGCGCCGTGAGACTCGTCTACCTCATCTACTAACCAATAGGAGCGCGCCTCTCGTGTTTCCAGAAAGTTCGCGACTAACGGACGATATAGTAGTAAGGCAATGAGTGTCCCAGTGACATCATTATAATATTTTCTCGTTAAATTTTATTGTAATATACACAATTTCGCACTAAATAACGTGTTACCCCGTTACACATTTCTAATAATGAAAAACCTAGACCAACCCTGTTCACTTAATCTTACAAGATCTGACTTTAAAAATTACGATATCCTCATATAGCCTTTCATTTCCCCTTTCAATACTTTTTCGCATTAAAAAGTAGCCTTTCTCAGGGTCTACATTATCTGTCTACCAAATTTCAATTAAATCAGTTCAGTAGTTTTGGCGTAGTAGACTAAGTTACTTTAGCATTTATAATATTTGTAAGAATATCGCTATTAAAAATAGGGGTTGGTGAAAGACGGGTGAAAATTTAGGCGTGTATGTATTTTCAATGTAACATTATAAATAAATAAAAAAATGTCCATAATACAAAACAATATTTTTTCGGGGTAGGCCACCCCTATGACTTAGGGGTATAAAAAATAGATAACAACCCTACCTCAGACCTGGCAAGTATACATATCAAATTTCATCAAAATGTGGGAGAAATATGGCAACTAACACTGTGATACAAAATTTATATATAAGATATAGCGGAATTCTCATTAGGAAAAAGAGGGGTACATCGTAGAATACATGAGGTATATACCAGTAAATTAATTGTAGCTAAAACCAGTCTCTTACACATAACGATTGAAATAAAAAATCATATAGCCCGATTTTGATACGTACGAGTATAAAAGTATCAAAATTGGGCTATACGTATAGCGCAGACGCGTTACAACATATCAAAAAAATAGGCATGGAATGTAAAATAAACCATAACATAATAGGTATATACATTGGCACATAAGCCATATCTGCAGAGTGTCGGCTAACGATATTATACCTACACATTTACATTGAATCTTGAATCGTCCCTAATGAGGTACACGATACAGTTACCTACATATCTATTATATACATATCTTTGCAAAACAGATGTCATGTAGACTGAATTGACTGCCATCTATTTTCATGCTTTGTTACTAAGCACCCACTAGTAATCCGAACTGCTTCAGATCTAGAGACATCTAGCGGCTACGGTGGCGAAATAAAATAGCCCGAAGAATAGCCCGAGTTAGGAAGGAACCATTTTCTTGTATGGGATGGGGTATGTAATATTATGTTATCTGTGGTATAGGTAAATACAGGTAGTCTGCGTAATGATTTTTTAATCCTTTAATGTATTTTTATGCATTACTTAAAAAAATATATTTCTGCACTCCTTCTCTATATAAACTATAAGTATGGGAAATTCCATATACCTCAATATCCGCGCAATTTTCGCAAAAAGGGGTACAAAGTTTTTGCTGTACGTATTAATATATAGATAATATAAATCTATTAAGTAATAATTTAGATTATGAGACACATTGTAAAACCACTTCTCAATTATAAGTAATTATCAGTATGCATGAACAAGCGTAAATTGTTTCCTTGTGACTTGTGACTTACCCTGTGACTGTGAGGGACTCGTCTATAAGAGTAATAATCTGGATGTACATATATGAACAAGTGTATATGTCGTGTTCGTTGTCCTGTGTACGTGTGAGGGTGAACTAACCTGTCACTGACGGCAGCAGCGTCGATGGGCGCTGCGACGGGCCCGGCCGGCAACCGCTGCTGCAGCGCGCGCACGATCTCCGCCCAGCACTCAGACGCGTCCTGCTGAGCGAGCCCGCCGCCGGCAGCACGCTCCGCGAACCGCGGCGCGGTCGCATGCAGCGCCCGTAGCAGTCTGGCAGCCGCGCCCGCACACGCGCCCGCTCCACCGCCCTCTAGCGCCACCATCGTCTCGCTCAGCGCCGTCGTCAGCTCGCCCGCCGTGCCGCCGCCGGACGCTGCCATATTACATAAAATATTACCAACTTCATACAATTACATAGCTTACACATCTTCCGTTTCGCAGCATGGATAGTCTTAGCATTAGTTGTTCATGCACGATTTAATATTAGACGTAGATACATACATAAGTTTACGAAGTAATTAAATTGGCTTTTAAAAATAAGAAAGAGTAAAGAGTAGAGAGAAAATATGAGTTGAATTTCTTGCCAGTTCTTTCAATTGAATCTGTATATTAAAGTGGGTGTAGCAAAAAAATATTAATACAAAAAACTTAAACTAAAATGTCCTACATGAATCAATTAATTTTAATTTAATTTGAGTCCAAATACACTCTTAAAGGGCGAAGAGGATTGACTAGTAACCCCACTGCTACCAATGTATCATTTTAGTCAATCTCCTCGCAGTTGCTCCTGGATACCATTCTGATAAATTCATGGTAAATATACCACAGGCTAAATGACCTGATCTGGTGCTCATCTTATCATTCTCCACTGGTGCCCCGCTAGCGTAAACCGTTAGCGCAGGCGGGTGCACCATTCCATTATCATCCATAAGTATGGACAGAGGCAAAATACACTCCTAGTTAACTATGGGCCCAAGAGTTAGTAAACTGGAAAAATATTAGACTTATACTGAATTGAAGAAGTCTAGGATTCTCAAATTATCTCTTAGACACTCAACTATTCATTAAATTGGTTAAGGGTTACAGAAGACGATGTGAGCCCGTGGTTCACACAAGTGTTGATTAATGTCTAGGGAGAATCTAACTATTGTGTGCATACACATAAAGTTCCCATTTGCAACTGTTGCTGAATACATGCATTATATTTTATAATAGGATGTGTATTTTACCTTTTTTTATCCAAAACTAATTTAGTATCAATTATCCTATGCTCAGTAAAATTTACTTATGGCAACTCTTACTAATTACTCACATTTGTCATAACTAATCAATGCATTCCTCAATTCGGGAACAGTCTTGAGACATTGAACTGTTGCATTCATATAACATGTGTTTCCTAAATTGATTAGTCCCTCTGGCATATCCAACTGGAACAATAATGATACAATAATAATTCAAATATATAAATAAATTACATTTTATATACAATAGACCCAGATGTGTCTACATTCTTTTTAGAAGTTTAGAGATACTCCTAATATACAATATTTACTACATAAGATACATACATATATAATAAATACTTATTTTTACACTATAACATACTAAGAAGAAAGAGTATGTAACTCAAATTTATAATATTAAGAAAATATTTATCTGACATAATTCTAATAATTATGAAAGTGTAAATTAGAAAAGTACATAAGTTGAAAATAAACATTATTTTCAACATATGTACTTTTCTAATGAAAAATATTTGAACAGAATACTTAGGCTAGTCTATTCCTCTAAAAAATAATTATTGTTAAATTGTTATATGAAAGTAACTTACGGCAGTAGCCAATTCAGACTCATTCATGTCCTCCACAAACTTGGTCTTCTCCACGGGAGCAGCAGGTACATCCTCCTCTTTGCTCCCCATTACTAGCACTAATGCATTCTATAACATACATAATTAAGTAAAACAATAGTCAACAATACAACTAAGTGATTATTTTTTTTATGATTGACAGTTTTAAAATTCATTTATATATATTAAAATGTAACTGATCATTGCCTGTAAATGAAAAATGCAGGAGAAAAACTAACTAGAGCATTATAATAATATAATAGATCGAAAACCCGATTGTTACAATTTTTATTTGTGTGTTTGTGAGTGCTAATCTCAGACAGTCAACCAATTTACATGCAGTTTTCTCTAATGTGTTGTGGTAAGGTTTAATTTATAGTGTATGTTTACAATAGGTGTTTCATGGAGGAGTTTGGCTGGTTACTTTAGTGGTCTTGGCTCTACAGGCACAACGGCCCAGATGAGAAAGGCTAAATACGAAGAATATTGTCCAAGTTACATGTTTTATTTTGTAATGAATTTGATTGAATGACGGTTTGTATAAAAGAAATATATGAAAATATTATTATTCTGAATGCTATGGGCAGAAAGCTACAGAATATAATCCAATTCAAAAGCAAAGTTATAGAATAATAATAGTTTAGAAGTATTTTAAAAAATCTCCCTTATTGTATAGAGATATGACTTACATTAGTCAATTTGAAGTTTGCCCATGAATCATCTCTCAATGTGACACCTTTACACACCACTTTCTGCCTCTCAGGTTGCACCCCCGTTAGAGCAAATATCTGTGCTTTAAACACAACAGGATCATCCTCAGTATTCACTTCCACGCCAGGGTATGTCTCCTTGCCCCACTTTACTTTTACTGTTTAAGATAAAAACAATTGTTAATACAAGTAAACAAAAATCTATACATATAAAGTACCTATCATATTCATTTTCTAAAAATAATTAATCTATATCTTATAAAATATAATAACTACTGATTATCGTAACATAATTTTAGTTAAAACTCCTCAATATTTCTTTGTTCTTCTAACAACTGTTAATATATAGAAACTGTAACTAAATATATAAATTTATTTATTTTTTGACTTTTTGTTGGTTCAGTTTTTCACATCTCAGGGAAAGGCAAAATGATTCAGCCCATGCAGCCATAGTCTTAGGTAGTATTCTCATATTATATATTTTTCCATTTATTGTCTTCACAATTCGAAACTCTTCAAAAAAAAAGTTGATAATATGTACTCAAATATACATTTCTATGTTATACTTTGACTTAAATCTGTAAATTATTTTGTTTAATTACACATCACATATTACTTGTCTTTTTAGATTTTGATAAGACCTTAATAGTTGCAATAATACTACAATATAAAGCAAAAATTTTGACAGAAGCAAGAGATTAGGATATTATTCTTATATTCCATGATTCATATTTTCCATATAATGACATGATAGCTAATTAGCAATATTTATTATCATTGTTGTTATCTAGGAAAATACAACACTGATGACTGATAATATTAGAATAGACTCATTGTCTGCCTCAACTTCTAATCCACTTAGAACCCATTTCTGATGAAATCTTGATGAACTCATGGTGAGTTCATCAAGATTTCATCAGAAATGGGTTCAAATTTCAAATTTCAAATTTCACCACTATGATTCTAAAAAATCATACAAAGGTTGAATTAATTGCTAACTATGACAAGGATTCTTTCTTTACTGAATTTGACTTTGTGAATAATTTTACATTTACCATACCAGCCTAAGAATGAGCAAGTTTTAAAAAATTATATATATATATTTAATGTTTCATGGAAAATACATCATTCTATTTAAATATTTAAAGACAGATCTTGGATGTAGCAACTCAAGCTCAACTCTTATTAAGTTACAAAAAACATTTCCATATATTTCTAACTATATTAGGACCTTGATCCAGTTGATTCAGTGTCAATTTATGGAAAAATCTTACAATGCCGGTGTATGAGGTCGTATTTTCCTACAAGGTATCGCCATGACGTAGCAAATATTGAGTTGTGGAATTTGGTAATTAATTTAATTGTAAACTTATAGTTACATTAACATGCATAATGTATTTAAGAATTTAGATATTGTAGCTTGAAAATAATTCGTTGACATTTAAAAAAACAAATATAACCTAAGAAATTTGTAAATTAGCCAAGTCATAAATGTGATATTCTGAATAACTCACCTGAAACTTTCGGCATATTTGGCGATCTCCAAATTACCACTTGACGACTTACTTGAGTAAATTAAATAGAAAATTATAAAGTTTTGAAATTGAAAGTCACGATATGCATCCGTGGGACTAAATGACAAACAGACAGACAGATTCATGACAATGACATGACACAGCATGACAGTTTATGACACAGGATTGAATGATGTCAGAAACTTCAGACTTCGGTAAATAAACGTCATTACTTAATACAAATGACATTTTTCTTTAATTAATCGCAAATTCTACAGTAAACGTAAGAAAAAGGGATCCCTAATTACTTAATGTCAATTTATAATTACTTATTTTGTTCTTTTTATAAGTATATATGGTCATAACATGTTACAGTTTGTTGAAAATGTATAAATCTAACGTGACAGAAAACAAAACTATTTTATTACTACCGTCTTTCTTTAATTTGGATTGTTATCGGTGTTTTCAATCACCAGATGGTTTATGATTTTTTAATGTAATCTGCCTTATGAGAATTTAGAGATATCTGCAGATAGGTATTACTGAGGAAAATAAGCAAACAGCAATACGCGGAAGGAAGAAACCCTAAATTTTTTACGCAGCAAATAAACTCAGACCACTTATACCAAGATTTACAGAAACAAACATTAGCGTTTATTGAACGCATGCTGTCTCTAAAATATTTAACGGGGTTAGGGAATTATTAATGATAAAAGGTTTATTGCTAGCAATGTCTCCTTAGAAAAGAAGAAGGTATAACTGATAGAAATTTAAAAATATAGGTGAAAAATTTGACACCACTATAATAACGCCGAAAACATAAAAATATCTTCATCAAAATGTCTCTGTAGCGTTTAATCGCTGGCCAAGTTCAGACTACTATGAGAACATGTCATAGTGGGCTAACTGACCCTATTTTATACCCATCCTCTCAACTTTCAGAAGTGTTGTGCCAACCTGTCATTAGCGCTGGCACAACTTTCATTCTATCATAGTGTATGTACCTATCTTATTTATAATACCTACTGAGATGATCCCCTTACACTTGGACTACCTATTGGGACGACGAGGCAGTTCGGATAACTTACTTAAAAATTTAATTTAACTTAATTACTATCACATGACTCCTTCCTCCATAGATCTATTATATCATCTATTCAGTTTGTGAGATCCCAGCGATGAGTATGTGAGATTTAAAAAACTTGTCCCCACTAAGGCTAGCTGGTGATGATAAGGTAAGCTGGTTAGTTAGGTATTTTCCTGAATAGATCGTTGCACAAGAGTGCAACGGAGTCGAATCTAGAATAAAGTATCAAATCCCATAATAAACGACAATATACAAAAAACTGTATCTACTCATGAGTGTAATCTTAGTGTTATTATTTTTCTGATATGCAATTCCTCGTGTAATCGTAAATCAAATTTTCCAAAGGATTCGATAGCATTTTCTCATGTGTCCAACGCGTCTCCCCGCGGTAAGTATACGTTCGATGAACTCGAAGCCTGCGCAAGCGCCGCGTCTGCCGACACCACCTCTATGTCTCAAACCTACCAGTCTCTCAGAACACTCCATTGTGTCCATACGCCGATCGTTGTGAACGCGCTACTTTCTAACGACGATATATTAAATCTCCTTAAGTGCGTGCCAGTGTAGTGATCGGGGTGTATCAATCAAGTGTCAATACATCTGATGTTACTATATCTTCATAAGGGATGACATTACAACCTGCTGTTGGACTTCCGAAGCTCGCTGTAAGTTCATCGAGCTTGTGGTTTCTAGTAATTCAGTTGAAAGTTATGATCAATAATCTTCATCCATAAACATAATTTCACACCGGTCGTCCTGTAGCGTCTTACAATTATATTGTAAAACTCATCAACTATGTAAACCATCTATTTTGCATATACTAAATAGGTATTCAAACCCGTTAAGTAGCTATAAAACTAGTTAAATATAGGATTCGTTTATTTACATAATAAATGAACGATATAAAACTTGTTCTAATTAGATATTACCTACTTAAATATTCATTTCGCGATTCTAATGCTACTTGAAAATAAATGCATTTAAAAATATTTTAATATGTTCCTATTTTGAGATAAAATTTACTTGGTACAGGCATTAAAGTAATATGTTTTATTTTTGGACTGTCGGCGAAAATTCTTTCACTTTCCCCGAATCAAACCAAAGTATAGAACAAATATGAAATTTTGGTTTATCGAATTTATCTAAATATCTCGCTATCTCATGATTAAATATTTATTAGAAGCTTGTATAACAAAGTAAAAAGTAAGTATTCACCTATGTATTTCATATACGGCAAATATTTCATACGCACATGAAGGAAAAAAACAAGAGGAATTAGTAGGTACATATTTATCGGTCTCTTCGAGGTCACGAATCTAAAGTGGACAAATCCAACTGGTGTATTTACTTACGCCCTTTGAATACAAACCACTTGGAACAGTATTTGCAAAGCTGATGTTGTTTTCCGAGAGTTTTTGCTGCGACGCGGTCGTCATCGCGTAAGGAATTCATAATGGTGGGCTAAGGATTCATCTACCTGACGATAATGACACCGGGGCAAATCTTCAAGATATTGTAACAACTTACCTATATTTATAATAACGCTAACCTGTTATTTTTAGCTCTTGGTGTATAGAATAAAATAATTACATTTGCATATTTCAAACATTTATAAGGCGAAAAGTTTTGATAGGAATGTTTAAATAAAGTAATTGATTGCATGATTCTAAAGCTACATGCAATAATAAATTTAAAATAACAATAGTAAGTTGAAATAAAAACTAACTACATTACTGATTGAGAATCATAAAGTAATTCCAGTTTACTGTAAAAGTAATTTAACTTAAGAATAAAAATATTAATTACTCTTTGTACTTTAAAAAAAGTAATATAATTATAATAATAAAAGTGTAATTATAAAAAAAGTAAGTAATATAATAATAGGTTTTTCATTAGTTAAATAATGTTGGCTAGAACTCTACCAGTTAGTGAAGTTTATTCTACTATATAATTTTACCTTGTCTATGGTTTTCAGTTATAATATTATAATACACATTATAAGTAACACTAACAAAAAACTAATCGTAGTAACAAAAAATTGTAAGTAAAAAATAATATAAAAAACTTTCTACGTATACTGCATCTAGATCATATTAATTAATAGTCGTAAATATCTCGCACATTTTTTATCTGCGTACTGAGTTCATTTGCAAAATAGTATTTAAAGTGGTTATTCTGAAGGTCGTTTGTATCCACACGTGGCACCTGCTCCAGTCAACAGTTCGTTTCCTCCCCAACCAGTTCCGTAATCAACAGGTTTTTAGTCGCCATGAAACTGTAATTAACTTCATCTGATACTTTCTCACTTATTAAAACACATCCATCGTGATAACTAACGAATGCTTACCGTTTTTATGACAGATGACTTCTATTTTTCACATCGACTTCTATTCGCGACATCGAGTAATCTAGGTGAAAACAATAAATCATACAAGAAAAGTATACAATTGTACAAAAGAAAATTACGTACATTTCTACAAATGAGCTAATTCACTTTCAAAACTTCTCTCAAAATTTACTTGTCAAAATTATTCATAACACTGCTACTTAAAGTAGAAAGAATGCTAATTAAACATGTTTTTATAATGTGAAACATATTTTATGGAGTATCTCGATCGTGGTATTAAAACTGTAACATTGTATGTGGGTTGCGACCATTTCGCCGGCGGACCAACAAATCTATAGCATTATTTTTACTTTCAAGTTTAGTATTGTAGTTACTTCACTTCGATTCGCGGTCATATACAATATGGAAGGCGTCATGTTTATTGCCAGTCGTTATTTTTTATAACCATAAGACAGTTAGTCTTTTTTGGTAGAGTGTGAAAATATGAAATGTTATTTTCTATATACATCTAATTTGTATTGTAGTTGGTTTCCTAAGATGTAAGCAAAGATGATTGTGCCAAACCACTTTTTCATAACATATTTGTCTCACTTTCATTACGGGTCTCATTCCTTAGACATCGCTGGCCGGTTCCGGCGGACGACTCTTCACTTCTTCCTCAAATACTAATAACATGCACTATCATGTAAACACTTATTAGTTGTTAGTCATAGTAATATCTTTAACGTTTTTAGTTATTAGATTACATTTATGTGAGAAGCATTAAAAGTGTTAAAATGTGTAGGTTATACCTACTTGTTATGTCATGATTTAAAGTTGAACCGTTAATGAGTTTCTTGTCAGTTCTTTTCTGATTCAACTACATTGTGAACTGTCGGTACATTTGGGTATTAAGAAAAAACTATCAAGCTAACAACTGACTAATAATATTTATATCAAGATCTATATGCATAAAGATGTTTTAAGTTTAGTGCTTCTTTCCCAGGACCTACATATTTTCTCATTCAACTCATTTCATCTCTAAGACTACATTTATGAATGATTTAGGACCCATATAAACAAATATCTTTAGAAGCGATTCTTTGTAGCTAACTTATTACAAATTCCATCATGATAGTAACAATATTTTCTCAAACATACGTATCGATACGATCAATCGATCGTAAAATGGCGTTACTATGAAATTGAAACGTGCTTATCAATATTTATTATTGTATGTCTTGAATTTGTTATATATTTAACTTTTTAATTTAATGCAGATACAGATGATTTATTTAACTACGTGATGTAATGTTTTTTCTCGATATTATTATTTTTTCAATCGATTGGTTATTAAATTCTTCAGAAGTTCAATAGTTGTTTTGTCACATTTGAAGTACGGTATATATTTAACAAATTCTTAAATTATATATCTGTGAGTATTATTTAAAACGATATACCTGTGAACAAATCGGAATATAGGCATAGATAAAGTAATCAGATTATAAAATATTAAAAAAACAGAAAGAGCCATAAGTTTATATCATATATTACATACATATCAATGAAATGTTTATTTTTTACATGTCATAATTAAATTTTAAATATATGGGCGTTGCGATCCGTTGGTCGAAATTATTGAAGCAGTATAACGACCGTATGTAAACCCAGGCACATACCTACTGGTTTTGATTTTACCCTTATTCTTTCCATCGATATTCATTTAATATAAAAATAATTTAACATGGCAACTATTGATATTAAATTAACTAACTGAATGTGTGATTTAAAATAATGTATGAATAGCTGAATCAGATATGTCCAAAGTAATTAATAAGCAAGTCATGTAGAGGTTTAAAATGAAAAACCTAATTCACAAACGATGAGGCATAGAAAAAATAAAATGTAACAATTACCTACTCGTATACTGGAAACACTGCCAGTGTTCATACATACCTAATATTATAAATACAATAAGTATATTGTAGCTATATGTTCTATAACTAACTATACTACTAAATGTATAGTTATCAAGTAATATATATATAAATATAAAAATAATTTTATTCCGAGACTAGCTACTCGCCCCGGCTTCGCACGGGTGTACACTGTACATGTATTATACATATAAACCTTCCTCTTAAATTACTCGTATCTATTAAAAAACCGCTTCAAAATCCGCTGCGTACTTTTAAAGATACACATAGGGACAGAAAGCGGCAGCGACTTTGTGTTATACCTACTATGATACAACGTGGATTTTTTTAAGAAGCGTATATTAAGATTTCTTAATGGTCGTGTTTCAGGCGTCCATAGGCTGCGGTAACCGTTTACCATCAGATAAGCCGTATGCTCGTTTGCTACCATCATAGTATAAAATATATGGAACATAATTCGGTGGGTGTGTAACTGGACTAATAGTCTAAATTCGGCAGTCTCCCGGTGGGTCGTTGTCCACAGCGAACCGTGTCACGGTTCATGCGCAGGCGCGTCGGCGCGCAGCGCCCACACATCTCCACTTGTTCAGATCAAATAATAATTTATCATACTTTCTTTTGTATGGCTTACGAATGGCAAACAAGCTGGCCCACGTGATGGAAAGCAATAACCGGCGCCGACAGACGTGAATGGCACTTAAGAGCACTTACACATCATAAGACACGCAATGACGTCAATTTTGCATCGTAAGTCACCATGGGATCGGCTTGTACCACTCTCATTTAAATGGATTTATGTAATGTTTAAATAGTTTTATGTTTACCGTAAAACTGAGTACATTGGGTTTGCAATATTGTAGTCACTGTCGCTTTACTAGCTTTCCCACGACTTTGCACAAAAGTTCATCCTCTATTTCAAGCCGTATGGATTATTTTTATTTTTAAGTTCAAAGATAGCCTATTCATATATATGCAAGGTAATGGTCTCGTGATAAAATCTATTCTCATAAAAAAATCATTAAGACCCATTCAGCGGTTATACGTGAAAAGTAAACCAAAAAGACAGAGAGATTTTCGCTTTTAGTATTAGGTGTTAGTATTATATACATATAAATTAATATTATATTAAGTATTACGCTATTATTTTTTTTAAACCCCTCATACTTCATATTTACTTAAGCCTCAAAATAAATGAACGATTAAAAAAGCTAAAGCACTACGCATACAAAAGACTTCAACGCGCGTCGCCCTATTTCTAATTTTACTTTAATTCCTTGAACAAGTTAAAACTCGAAAATAGAAGTACGTTCTTATTATTTCCCGCTATAGAGTGGTTGAAAGCAACCTGTTTATCGACTGAAGTGGGCCTCGAAGTGGCACCTGCCGCCACCTCTAGATTTCA